CGGCTTAGTCTGTGGGGACAAAGAGGTCACCAGTGACGTGTAGGGCCGATTCAGGGATTCCGTTCTGGCCTAAAAGGAGGATAAAGGAGTGGGAGAGAAAAACACAAGCCCAAGTTAGAAAGGTGACACGAGCAGGTCGTAGAGATGTCCGGAAGTTGGTGTCTGGACACCAACTCCAGGGGCAGCAAGGTCACAGGAAATCTGGGGTTCCATTCAGCATCTTCTCTGACGGGCGGGCTGCCTGACCCTGCTGGAAGTATCTCCTGTTGCAAAGGCGTGTGACCGCGCACACACTTCCCGTGTGGGAGCCATCTGCGCGGGCGCCGGCCCCTCCTGACCAGCAGGTGCACCGGCAGCCACGTGAGCAGATGCGGAGGGGAGCGCATGCCACCCGGCACTGCAGTGGGTGGGTGGCAGCGCGGACTTGGCGTGCTCAGCATGCGGGCAGAGCAGTGAGGTGCACACACCCCGTGTCCACACGAGACACGCACCCCGCATGCACAAACCCAGCAGTGCAGGTGTGACACTTGTTTGAAGAATGTGTTCAGAAACGCTCTGTAAACATCATAGCCAAAGATCACAAAACTGTCACACAAAAAGCCAGAAGAAAATATGCGGGAACTTTTGGAAGACAAAAGGAAATGTATCAAGAAAGGGGAGCAGGAGTTTGTAGCAACCTGCCCCGCACTCCACCTGCGTGCTTCTTGGCACTGCTGAAATGGTTTCATGGAGCTAGTCATGCACAGGTGCGGCTCAAACACTTAAAAGGAGGAAAGGAAGTTCCCTTAGTGTAATAACTTCTGGGAGCGAGCACTTTTTAGCTTTTTGAACAAGCTATTAAGAAGAGACAAACCATTCGTTTTCACTTATCCGGCATGGAGAATGCTTAGGTTAGTGGGCTAGAAGGCTCATTTCATTATAGGCTGAATTCTAACGCCTGCCAGAACGCTTGCATGTTTCTTTAAAAATGACGCGTGGGAACAGAAGCATTAGGAGGAAGGCGTGGTTATGGGGTCACCCAGGTTAAGTGTTCCAAAGAACAGCCCTGACCTTCACTGGGCCCTGCCTTGCCTGGCTCAGGGGTGCAGAGCTTAGCCGTGCCGGCCGTCTTGGGTGGCACCTGAGACTGAAGTGACAAGAAACACAGAAGGGTCAAGACTCAGACAGACAACACTGCACACCAGGGCTCGTTCTCTTTCTGGAACTAAGGATGGACTTTGTTTCTTCCTCACAGAGGCTCTGCCTTCCTTTTCCTTGGCCTTAACCCTAACCCCTAACCCTAAACCAACTGTGCAGTTCTGCAACTGCAAGTGTACCATTATTTACTTGGCAAGGCAAAGATTTTTCTTCAGGCATCTGAATTATCTAGCAAGCATTTCTAGTGCGTGCTGACAGTATCAGCTCCATCCCAACTGATGGAAGGGCAATGAGAAAGAATTACTTCTTAAATGTGTAAGTCTCTGACAAGGGGCGGTAGCTGTCAGTGTTCTGAGAATTCAGGTCACTGGACCCAATTCTGAGATACTCATTTCTACAGGAAAGTGCTTCCCCTTGGGGTAACGAAGGCTCCTCTACTCACTCTCCAGGCCACGTAAGCATATATCCAAGTTAAAGAAGAAATGTTTCAATAAATAAAGAATAAATGTCGGTTTGGTTCTCATTTGTGCATGTATGGAGGGGCTCTGACCACAGGAAAGAAAAACTCAAACTCATCGCTAGGCAAAAACTCCGCAGCCCAGCGAAGGCGCTGCTCAGCTCTGGTGCCAGGTGGCCTGGGCAGGACCCACCCACGCTGCAGAGCCATGCGGCTGCTTCGTGGAGTGCTAGCTTGTCTTTCCGCTAAGTCAAAGAATCTATTTTCCTAAATTTATAGTCCTGAAATAATGAAACTCATTCTTTACTATCTGAATAATGCAAGGCTCAGAAATACAAAATTTTAAGGGGACGGATGTGAATTTGGTCTACTATAAAGCATCACTGTCCAGAGAAATCCCAAAAGTCATAAAAGATGAATGAATCTGAATATATTCAATTAATAACAGACATAGAAATAACTGCAAGCACTTTCTCTGGAACATGTACAGCTATAGGGCACTGATATTACATAGTACTGCTCCATCAACTGGTTAAGGGTAGCAAGGAGGAAAATGTTTTATCTTGACATCTTGAACCACTGATAAAGAATTAAATAAACTGCCAGGAGTTTTTTGTTTTGTTTTACATCATTAGAGCGAAATAGCAAATAGCCACTTCTAAGGAGAAGTCAGATCAGCAGGTCTCTCTCAAATGGTTTCTTCCATTACAATAGCAAGACTGAAGACTTAGGTAAATGACTGAAATAGCCCCAGGAAAAGTCCCAATAAAGGCGTAGAAGAGCACTAGCCAAGCTCAGGAGCAGCCAGTCCATTACCTTGCTGGTCTCCTCCAGCTGAGTGCCACGCTTCCAGGCCTCAGAGAAGATGGAGCTCACGATGCTCTGGGAGCGGATGTGCCCCGCCCCTGCCGGCTGAGTGTCGGAGACTCCGCTGTCAGACTGGTTAGAATGATTGGACTGAGACTCTGTTTCAGAGTGGGAAAGCAGATTAAATTGATCATTATTCTGACAGTATGAATATGTACTTTTAGGTCTTTTACACAGGACCAAAAGCTATGTAGAATAGCAGTAAGTTAATTTTACTTAGCTCCTTTTATTATAAACACAGCATTTTTTCACTAGAAAACTTCTCTTAGGAAATAAGGGAAAAAAATTTTTTTTTTGAAACAGGGTCTCAGTGCCTAGTTCAGGGCCTTGAACTCACTACGTAGCCTAGGCTGGCTTTGAATCCCCACCAATCCTCCTGCCGCAGCCTCCTGAGCGCTGGGATTATAGGCATGTGCCACCATGTCTGACAGTAAATCTTGATTCTTTTTAAATAGTTCACTATGAGAGAATGAAAATTACAGTAAAGGAGCTCTGTTTTGATGACACTGACAGAGTGTTTCTCAGCTTTGGTTTGATGCTTTTCCCTTGATTAGACCGAGGCTATCAATTTAGGAAGAAGAACACAGAATAAATAAGCCAACCTCCTCACATTCTGTTGAGGGGTACCTGCAATCAGTGTGACTTCCTACTTGATGATACTGACTGTGATTACTGGGCCGAGGTTCTATGTGTCGGGTTCTTTGCTGGACAGTTACTCCCCCTACCTATGCTACTCTTTGGGAAGCAAGTCACTGTATTTTTTGGGAAGCCCACACTTGAGTGGAGAGACACGGTTCACCTCCTTGAAGAAAAGTATCTAGGTAAACCATATAGAAGTCTTCTGTATAAAAAGATTCGTCCCTTACTTGTTTGTTTATTCAATAATTTTCTCATATCAGCATGGACTCATAGATATTTATTTTATGATCTGGGTTATTACCCTATACTACCTTATCTATTTTATTTTCCAATTCTTCTAGCTTTGGCAGTGAGACTTAGGTTGACTCCTCAAGTCCCTTTAACATACTCGGGTGGTCTTACTGTTACTGGGGTATCGCTGCTTCTAAAGTCAGTGAGGGGCTGGGGATTTAGCTCAGCGGCAAAAGCGCCTGCCTGGCAAGCGCAAGGTCGTGAGTTCGGTTCCCGGTACCAGAGAAAAACCAAAAAAAAAAAAAAAAAAAAAAAAAAAAATAAAGTCAGTGAACAAAACTAGGAAATACATGTACGTATACACCAACATGTATATATATTCACATTCTAAACTTGTTTAAGTAATTTAGGGAGGAAATCAAATCATAGTTTTTAAATCAATAAGCAACAAAAAATTCTGCTTTTAGGGGTCATGAACCTCATTCAGGGAACATTTAGAAAGTGAAGAAGCATTGACTTTACAACATAAACATTTATACTTGCTTAGGATGTGGGAATCTGAAAGCCCTATTTGAGTATCACTGACTTCCTGTAAAAATTTTGGAAACTTTGATTACTTAAGTGGCTTCCTGAACTGTAATTCTGAACTAGTTCCTGGCTTTTCTATTACATTGCAATGTCTGGAAACCTGTGTGGTAGCCTCCTCATAGATTCTGAGGACAGAGATTTTTGCCAAGCAATTTTTTTAACCAGACGTTTCAGCAGTATGTAATGGGTTTTGAATAAACTTCATACATATAAAATACAGAACTCCTGGCTTTAGAAGTTTGTTATATACTGATTTGAGAACTAGTCCATGATATTGCCCACTCTAACAGTCTGGCTGTGGTTTTTATGAATCAAGTTGAAATGATCAGGTCTGTTATCAGTCTCCACAGTGGCACTAAAATAGTGCTTTGAGGCATCTGAACTACCTGGGATGCTGGAAGAACTGGATCCTGATTTAATACTGGAGCTGGATAAGGATGTCCAATCATAGGCAGATTCGGTCCTCTTCACAGCTTCTTGATAGTTCACATAGAGCTGCTTCCCATACTAAACAGAGGCAGTAAATGGCGACAGTGAATTGCACTATTACAGAAGGATGAGGCAGCAAAGGGAGATGCGTCTGATTTATAGTTGTATTAATACCTATAATACTCCCAAGTCTTACAATACTAGCAAATTATAATCTTTCCTCATTTATAGAAGTGCAGCAAGAAGTTAAGAGTTGATTTTTACTATGTTCATTATAAATGTAAGTATTTTTTTCACCCCAAATTCTTGATCCAGGGCCTTATCTTTAGCACTATTGAAGATATTGCTCCAAATCTGGTTGCTAAATGATTACTTAATTAAAAAATTACTTTGCTTAGGATAACCTCTGCTATGAGAATCACATAATACATTCTCCAAAGACAAAATAAATCACTGTGATGCTAGACAAGCTTTCACCAGCACTGTTAATCCATAAATACCAACTATTATCACTACCAGTCATTCTGAAAAAAGGACATTTTTTTTAAAAAAATGACACTTAGGCCAGAGAAAATGAAATACTAGCAAAATCACGAACACAAGACAATGAGAGTAACTGTCATGAAACTCAAACTGCACCATGAAACCTTCACCCCATCCGAAGGAATGTACCTTTGCAATGCGGATGCCGTTGACCCACTGATGCAAGGTCCTTATATCGTCACAGCAGAGGTATTTGATATACTGAGATTTCTTCTGAATCTGTGGGTGCTGCAAGAGTAAAGGCAAAATCCAAATAAGTCTTCCGGAGAAATGGAGAAAAATAAGCTTTCTCAAAGTTTAAACTTATCTTGGTAAGTTATTAGAGTAATGGCCAAATAATATGTTTTTCATATGGTCCTATGGTCAAATAAAACAGCCCTCACACAAGTGAAACTTGGGTTAAATTTTAGGTCAGTCTGTCAAAGTTTAAAGTAAACCTTCACACCATGGGAAATCCCCAAATATCCCCTCTACATTGAAAGAAACAAAATCCATCAAGGTTAATTCAGCAGAATTCTTAATCTGTAGGATTGGGAAAAGGGCAGAGTCTCACTTTGAACCCCCTGAAATCATGAGACTCCAAATGAGAGGAGGGCTTTGGTGAGGCTTCAGTGCTGCTCTGGTCATCCAGGCCTGCGACACCGAGCACACAGCACAGGTCCAGGATAGGAGCCCACAGCCCCTTCTGGTACTGTGGTAGAGACAGATGTCACTCCTGTGGAGGTCCCTCCCCACTGTGGCAGCAGTGCAGTGTGTGCCGCAGGAGCAAGCAGCTTCTCCAGGGCACCCAATGCACTTGTCAGTGATGCCTGGGAGGGGGGTGATGTGAAGGACCTGACCTGGGCTACCAGTGCACGCATTAGGGATGCGCTAAAGCCAGCTTCACTGCACTGGACCTCAACCACTAGTGTCTAGGGAGGAAAAGCCCCAAACCACACTGAATTTGGATGTAATGAGGCAAGTTTATTACTCCTCTTTTCAGTCATTCTGAAAAATGAATAGCTATATTTTGTCAAAAAATACTTAACATTTGTGATTAGTTACATGAATGAAAGCAGGTTTAAATAATTTATCCAAAATTCTCTACATTTATTTGTTGTGGAAGCCATGAGCTCAATAAGACAAGTTTATAGCTGTGCTGTTAGAGATCAATCTCTGGTCTACAGTGAGAGAAAAGGATGTTACATCCCTTCAGTGTTTTGCTCCCAGTGCAGCCAACATTTCAGAGCTCAGGAGGCTCCTTTAAAACAACACTTACTACCCAAACCACTGTTCTACTTTCTGAAGGATGTACTCAGAGTTTTACTTTCTTTATCTTTTTTGTTTTGTTTTGTTTTGTTTTGTTTTGTTTTGTTTTGTTTTCCAGTACCAGGAATCGAACTCACGACCTCGTGCTTGCCAGGCAGGCGCTGTGCCACTGAGCTAAATCCCCAGCCCCATGTACTCAGAGTTTTAAATGATAAACCTTCAATCAGTAAAAGGGGAGCAAAACAACACCCAATAATTTTCTCTCCTGACAATATAGACCCCCTCTCTTGGTGCTTGTCTACACTACATCACATTCCAAGACGTGTCATGGTAACCTTTAAAGTACAGAGGACGACATGTAGAAGAGTTGTTTTTCTACATACAAGGATGAAGAGGAATTTTGCCTCATGTATTCATTCAGCAAGTATTTATTGAGCAAGAACTATTTGCGAGGTACTTCAACTAGGTTTTAGGGTACAGTAATAAGCAAAACAGAGCAGGTCCTTGACTGTAAGAAGTCATACTGTATGCAGAAGATGGAGTGGGAGTGTGAGGAAGAGCTCGCTTACTACTGCCAGCCAGGCATACAGGAGATGTTCTCCTCAGAGGCACTGCCTGCCCGGCGGGGGCTGCTGCAGGACGCTCTCAGCCTTTCTCACCACCTCCTCCCTCCATGGCCATTAACAACCACTCCTGACTGCATGTGTGTTTGTTAACAGCAGCGTCCTGAGTGTGCTTGTATGATTCTGTCCATTCTCCACATGAAAAGGTGGTATATTTATCAACACAGCATTGGGAAAAATCAAAGAAAAATTATCCTCTGCTTTTTTCAGCTCACCTCTCTGACCTAGGCATCTGGATAATACCCTGAAGAGCATTATAATGTAATTATTTGATTCGATGTAAGCCAAGCATCAGACTGTTTGCTAGTTTAAAATCCATTTTAGGGACTCAGTTCTTTTTTATCTTCCCACATAATAAAGGCACTCACAGCAGTCCTTATTCAAGCTCCCCATTATTAATAATCCCTCAGGAGTCACCTGTCCCACTAATATACTGATATTTTATTAAAAATGGCATTTATCAAGCCCTTAATGGGCATGAGACATTATGTGATATATTTCATATATTTTAAGCTCATTCAATCCTCCCAAAAACTCTATTCCCATTACTATGATCTCCATGTTCTGAAAATGGCTAAAGATAGAGGATTAAAGACAGCATTTAAAACTTTTTCTTAAGCTGGGCATGGTGCTGCATGCCTGAAAACCCAGCACTCCGGAGGCTGAGGCAGGAGGATTGTTATGAGTTCGAGACCAGCCTGGGCTACAAAATGAGCTCAAGGCCAGCCTGAACTGCATAGTGAGACCCTGTCTCAAAAAAAGGCCAAAAAACCCACAAAAAAAACCCAAAAAAAACCAAACTTTTTCTTAGTAAGTAAAAGAACTGAGGGAGAAATCAATTCAATATTATTCCAGTACCCATGACCTTAACTATTATGTCATACTCCTGCCTTATAAGTTAGTTATAAGTAATGGTGCTTTAGAAGTTCAATAAAACTGCTTTTCCCTTCCTACCATAGACAGACATACTATTTTGCCTTATTCCTTTAGGAATGAAAATTTAAATCTGCCTAAAGTAAGCTTTAGTCCAACATTAAATGTAGTATATAATTTTAAAACACAGGTTTCCCTTAAGAAACTTATTTAATTACAGATGAATACACACACATACACACATCCTGTGTGTTCCTATATTATCAAATTTCATGAATAAACTTCACTTACCATTATTACTTTTACATTACCTTTAGAAAACAAATTAGCAAAATGTGACTGTGTATATATGAGGCATGATCAAAGTATATGGTGAATCTTTAAATAAAAAATTATGTAAAAGAGACATGCTATCATTTCCCACCAAAATATCCACTCTCCTTGACTCAAACACTCTTACCCTACTTTTTGTCACTTTTTGAAGCAGTTCTGGAAATCCTGTGTTTTTATGGGGTATGATGAAAAACAGTGTGTTCTCATCCACCTTATTCCCCAATCTGCCACCATCAGATTCTGGCTCTTCCCCAAAGTCAAAATGACTTCGAGAGGGCAATGTTCTGAACTGACTCAGGACATCGAGACAGCTTTGGCAGCACAACTACAGATCCTCACAAAAAAGGACTCCTAGAACTACTGCAGACTGGCAAAAATGATGGACTAAGTGAATTTCAACTGAGCAAGGCATTGGCAATAGGCCTTTCACACTGTCATAAAAATTTTTTAAACCTAAACATTCACTATATTTGTCATTCAAACCTTGCATATTTCTAGTATCCTACATTTCATTGGAAGAACATAGCCCAAAGCTGACAGAAAATCAGGCCCTATAAACACGAAGCTTGTATTCGTGTAAATCCTGTGCGGCAGCATTTTCTTTAGAACTCATGCTCAAGGATAAAAATATTTGTATAGGCAAAGTCTAGTACAGATTTTAGAGGGAAAAAGACTCGTCTTTAAATCCTAATGGTTGCGTGGCCCGGGGCAAGACCCTTAGCTCCGCACCTCGGTCTCTGTGCCGGTCCTTTCTAGTGCGGGCTGTCACCTCTTGTTCTAAGTAAACGGTGGTGCTTACGTTTACTATTATTCCCAGCTAATGGTATAAAAAATATGGCATACAAAGACCACTAAAAGCAAATATAAAATACATATATTATTATGAAAACTAAGATAAAACATTTGACACAAAAATATTCTTAAGAATTCTGTGAGTTACCAAAGAGACTATAACACAGCCTGAGTATTCCATATCCAAAATGCCCAGGATTGATTTCAAAAGTTTAAGGATTTTGGAATATTTGCACAGACTTTACTGCTTGGACATTCCTAATACAAAAACCTGAAATGCTCCAAAATCTTAAACCATAACAGAAAAATTTTTTTAAACAAACATTTATTCTTTGTGTGGTGCCGGGGATTGAACCTAGGGCCTTCTGCATGGTAGGTTAAGGGCTCCTCTGAAACTTTTTGAGCGTTATGCTGGTTCTCGAAAAGTCAGATTTCAAAATTGGACACACGTGTAAATATCACATTGTTCTCTGTGTGAGACACTGAAAATGTAAATAAGGACCAAAATGTATGATAGGTATTGTATTGTGAAACAGGAAGAAAATGTTTCAGTGGGGAGGGGAACAACGTGGGGGAGCAGGGAGTAAAGAAGGGAAAAGTAAAAAAAAAAAAAGAAAGGAAAACATAGAAACAAAGCTTTTGTAAATGGGGAGGAAAGTTGAAGGGAAGGGAGGAGAATGGGAAAAAAAAAGAATCAAGTTATATCATGTCCAGGTACAAATTCTCTATGATGAATGTGATCATTATGTATATCTAAAATATACCAATTAAAAAATCATAAAAAAGTGAGATTTCAGTGCATTCCAGATTATGAATTTTCAAATTAAGGATATCCAAACGGTAAGTGGTAGTGCTCACAACTACATGATTTTGAGACAATATTAGCTGCCCTTCCCTCAGTAGCTGCCTCTTTTTCCTACTCTCATCAAGTAGAGACCAACCCCTCACCTGTGCCCTAGAGGTGTGGATTCTGACTAGTGAGGGGCAAGCACAATGGTTTTGTACACCTTCTTAGTGAATGGTGTAGCAGCTGGAATGTATGTTAGGTCAATAATCCTCAGGATGCTGTGAGAGGTTACATATACCTATTATCCCAGCACTTTGGGAGGCTGAGGCAGGAAGATTTCAAATTCAAGCCCAGCTTGGACAATTTTGTGAGACCTTGTTTTAAAAAACAAGTCCTCAGCCAGGCGTGGTGGTGCACACCTGTAATCCTAGCACTTGGGAGGCTGAGGCAGGAGGATCGTTGCGAGTTCGAGACCAGCCTGGGCTACAAAGTGAGCTCAAGGCCAGCCTGAACTGCACAGTGAGACCTTGTCTCAAAAAAGACAAACAAACAAACAAACAAACAAAATCCTCAAGGGTAGGACTGTGGGGTGGCTTCTGGAAAGTAGTTTTTTTCTTTTTTAAAAAAAGGCAAATACAATAAAGGGAGAAAAAGTCCTTGTCCTGCTGGATTTCCCTAGGCCTCTCTTGATGCCTAGACCTGCAGTGGTCATCCTGCCACGGTGAGGTGAGCCAGGCTGCATGAGGAGGACAGGCAGAAGACGGAACAGGGAATGACAGGAAGGGCATGGGTTCTCACAACTCTGAGCTGCTGAAATAACCAGACCCCCAAATAACTTTCTTACCAACTGAAGGAGTGAAAAATGTAGTACCGTGGCACGATATTGATTATTTATATTCAAGTCACTTAAAAAATAGAAGACCCCAAAAGAACACTTAGGTCTTCATGCTGTTTCTTGAAAACAGAGGATGAAATTCTTAGGAGAAAGATGCCACGTCTATATGAGTAATATGCATTCTTATATTCAAGGGTAAGAGGCCAGACGATTCTGTGCAGACCTTCACAAGAAATGCTGTCTTCTAGGCTCCTTATGCAATGTGCTGCTGTACACCCCTTACTACTCTTACTGTAACCCAGCCTGCAGTAATGGACTCCACTATCTACTACTTCAGTCCACTACTTCACTACTTCAATTCTCTCACCAAGACAGGCCTCTGAGAAGATGGAAGTAGAGTTTTCCTACCCCTTCAATATTTACCTCATTAGAAATCAGAGCAGAAAAACATTAAGATACAAAATTATGCCGGGCCTGGTGGCACATGCCTGCAATCGCAGCACTCGGGAGGCTGAGACAGGCGAATCACTGAGAGTTTGAGGCTGGCCTGGGCTACAAAATGAGCTCAAGGCCAGCCTGAACTGCATAGTGAGACCCTTTCTCAAAAAGACAAAAACACGTTATTTGAGTCAACAGCAATAAAATATCATCCCATTATGTGACCATCTGGAAAATGCCAATACACATTTCTGAAAGAATCAGAGTGCAAAAAGCAAATAACATCTTAGTAGTATTAGAAAAATAATTTTGACATTATGGGCTTAATTCTCAGGGGACCTTGGCCTCATTCTGAAACTGCTGAGTGAAAGTATTTTGTTCTGATCTTAAAGAATTATTTGCTCCTAAGTAGCCTGAATGATACAGTGGTCTCTGACAGAGTATTATTTAATAAAGAGTTGCTGTTACATTCAACTTCGTCAAAGCCAACCCCCCCCCCACAAACGCTACTCCCCAGAGCCAAATGACAATTCTCTGAGAAGAGAGAAATAAAACATGATGACATAAACATGTAGACTTGAGGGTCACTAAGATGGAGCCAAGAAGCCAATTTACGTGGAACTTGGAGACAGAGCCCTCTGATGGTTCCGCTCGGCATGCACAGGAAAATAAGTAAAACACAAGGTATGTGTCCCACATTCATCCCTGATCTAAGTTTTCCTAAAATAAGCCTACTATTAAATACAATTCTCAAATATATAATCAAATATATTCTACATACTATGGCTCAAAGTTTATAATCAGCATTCACTTTTTATTTGCATGATTCTAAGGCTAATTGGCTAAGGGGCAGCTATGCCATAGCACATGGTTTTTCCTTCATTTTTTTATTTTTAATTTTTATTCTTTGGTTGCACTAGGAATCTAACCCTATAACTTATATATGCTAGGCAAGTGTTCTAGAACTGAGCTACACCCCTAGCTCTACCACTCCTTTTTCAAGGTATAGAGTAAAGCAAAAACAGTACACTTGTTAGAGATCCTAACTATTGTAAGTGTCCAATAACCTAAGTCTAACCTTAATTAAAATTCCCCAAAAGAGGTATATGCTTACCTTTAGCACGAGACAATAGTCTGTAGGTGCTTTGTATTTATTTCGATAATCCTGGCCATAGTAAACATTGACATGATCCAGCTGGAGAAAGCACACCAGATCCCGAGAGACCTACCAGAAAAACACCCAAAAGGTCAAGTTACAATAGTGTACAAAGAAGCAAATATCATAGCTAGTTAACAATTTTTAGTTGAAAATCTAAATTTTACTAAATAGAAATTACTATTTTGCAGAAGACAATGAAGTTGTTTATGAACATTTCTTCTTTAATCCACAATATAACCCCCACAAATCAGTTCATTTTGCTTACTGTTACTGTTTGTGTCTAGATGTCCCCCCAAAGCCTCATTCCACCATAGGTGGGCTTTTCCAGAGGTGGCTAGATCTAGAGTGTGTGAATGATTCATGGTACAATACTACGATAAAGGGTGCTGGGATTAAGGGTGTGTGTGATTACTAAATCAGTCCACTGATTGGTTTGGTATTTGCTCTAAGGGTATAAAAGGGGGAGAATATAAAATGGATAGAAAGAAGCTGCTAAGGCCCCTTGGTTGCTTGCTTTGCTACCTTCTGCCACCATGAACTGTTTCTTCTGTGATGCCCCTCTTCCATGCCACCCTGCCCTCGAGCCAGCCGATTGTGGACTAAAACCTTTAAAACTGTGAACCAAATAAACCTTTCTTCCTTTAACTTTGGGTGCTGGGTATTTTATCTCAGTAATGAGCAAAATAACTAAAACACTTACTGTCTTGATATTCATAACCAACCCTAACTTTTTTGGAAATGCTGACATTTAAAAATAGTACTTTAAGTATAGTAGGGCATGTGTTAAATACAATAATATGTAGGAGAGCTCCCTGGAACGAACAAGAAAACATCAAGTGGTTCAGTGCCTATAAAACATACCTCAAATACAATGATTTTCCACTGGAGGTTTCCTCATCATTTAAACAGGGATAAGATTTTACTTATAGGATTATCATAAAACTAGATGATACTATAAAGTCCTTGAAGTAGTTCTTTCCTCAAATTAATGCAAAGTGAGTTACACCAAGCGAAAGCCTATCACTCAAGACTGAAATGGCTGTAAACCCAAAAAACTATTCTTCTCCAAACAAAAACTACTCTGGGAAGACTCCCAAATATAAGAAATAAAACTATGATTTCAAATGTGGTAAAAGAAATGAGGCGGGCCCAACGAATGATCAGAGAAGTGAAAATTTTTTAGACAGATTATAAACAAAGTAATCTGTTCTGTATGAGCTAAAGTAATGACATAATCACTACAGATTAAAAGCAGGCATGAAAGAAGGGACCAAAGCCTTACAGAAGGGATCCCACACAAGGGACCTACCTTTGCTTTTCCTTTAGGGACATAGTAAATACCAGATGCTCGCAAGAGAAAGTATCGCTTTTTCCAGGACTTCTTGCCGTCATCTTTCAACCAAAGAACTCCTTCAATTTCTGGTACAGTTACAGAGCTTCCACAAAAGCATTCCTAAAATAACAAGATGAGCTGAAAGTATTTCTGATCCTTGGATTTTTAGAAAAAAGTTGTGCCTACCCCTATGAGATGCATTATACTAAACCAGAATGGTTTTCCATTAAAACTATGCTGCTAATTTCACTTGAATCTGAACTTTCTAAACACAATATGAATTTATTTTGGAACAACTATGGCAATCCTGAAATGTTTAATAAGCAAAAATTCCAGACATAAACGTAACAGTGAACTTCTGCCTATGATCTTTTATGTAATACTGATGAAAAAGTAACTTGAAACATCAACTATATATAACATACTTAAATGACTTCTAAACAGCATAGTGTAAATAAAATACTAAATATAATTAAATGTCAGGGTTAACATAAACGTTAAATTTTATTTTTCTCCAAATTATCAATGAATTAATTAGCTGTCAAACTAAAAAGGAATAAAGTTAAAAAGAAGGCAACATGTTAAGTGATTGATCAATAAAAACTGAAAAACTCTGAATCGATATGGCCTAAGACAAACAGGGCATTTGCTGTCAAAACATTTAATATTAGGTTGAAAGGAATATAAGCAAACTCAGAATTGTGAATTCTGTTTATGCTTAGATATAAATCTAGTATGAACAAAAATGTACTTGTAAAAGAAAGTCCTCACTAAGTATTAGTGTAGGGCATTTTCAACCTAAATTAATTTCTTTGTCCTCAAAGTACAGAAAAGTTGAGAATTGTAAAGATTTTTTTCTTAATGGTAACTAGTATCACTATTAAAAGCCAAATGCCTATCTTCATTTTCCTAATGGCCTTGTTGGTAAGAGTTTATTCCAGCTTTCAATGTACCAACTTCTTTTAATTTGTTAAAATCTGCAAAAGCTGAAAATTCAGTTATATTTAAATTTATGATTCGGCAAAATAAAGACACTTTTTAAAGAATGATTATGAAACTTATTGGAGTTATTTATGGCTAAGGCCTGAGATTTTGTGAACAGCTAATTATATTCAGCTTTCTCTCTGAAAAAGCAGGTAAAAACAGTGAATATTTTTCATCAACCAGCCCTTCTTCCCACTTGGCAACCCCTAAAAACTTACCACTTCTTTTACATTGGTAAATTGGTTAGCAAAAAAAATAGTTTCTCAAGGGTTCTTCAGTTGCCTAACCTGTTCACACAGTTGAATTCTTTCTCTCTCTCCCTCATGGCATCAAAGAATACAGGCTTCTTGAGTTACAACTGTCACTGTAAATATGGAGCACACTATACTGCACTTTAAAAGGTACTTAATACTTCACTTATAAAATGTGCAGAAAAAGGGGCAGGAGAAGCATACCTCTAGTAGTACTTCTTTGTTTCTATCTGCCATTTCAGCTGTTTCCTTTTTGCCCAGAAGATAATTCTGGAAAAACAATGAAACCAACATTAAAGGAAAAACCTATCCTATCATTCTTTTGGCATAAGTACACATATGATTTCTTCTGTAGAAATAGCAACTCTATGAATAAAATCAGGAGGTATGACGGACATTGTAAAAGGAAAGGAAAATGCTCAAAAGTAAAGAGCAACTGGGGTGAGGGAACAGAGAAAAGAAAGAAGGGGAAATTATGTATGTATGTATATGCAGGATAGCTAACATAGTTGTTCTACTGACTTCTATCGCTCTACTAAAAGGAACAGTTAATGATTAATTATTTGATCAATCTTGCATGTCTCTATTTATTTTCCTGAGAAACCACTTTGAAGATATCAATACGTAATACAACAACCAGTGTTAATTTCCTACCACTTTGTCTGTAACTCTGTATTGCGTGTATTGTTCTTATGCTGTTTTGTAAATGGATGTCTGTTTGTTAATATGTTTTCCTTCTTTTGTTCTTAAAATTTAAAAAAAAAAAGGAAGAAATAGCAACGCTTGGTACACTTTTGCCAGTGTAGAGGGAGGGGAGTACTGCTTTACAAAGCTCCCAGCATACAGGCTTGATCATTAAATTACTCAACACTAGCCTCTTCCTTGCCTAAATATTTGTCATGAATTATTTCATAAACTGCCCTCTCCCAAATCCTGAGGTGACGTCCCATGCAACAGCTGATAGTATGCAGAAAACTTATATTCTGGCTTTAAGAAGAAATCCCAGACTCTGTAAGACTATAACAATCTCATTTTATTAAAAACTAAATTGTAATTATTAGTATAATTATTTTTCACAGTTGCCTACAAAAAGATCTATTGATATCCCCACAGATGAATTCTCCATTAAAATATCCAGAGAAGGTGAGTCATGACGAAGTCAACAGGAAAGCTACTCAGTACCTTGAACACTGGTGCTATTTTTCTCATTATCCCTTTTTATCATGGAGTTCTTGTTTTTTCCCACCTATTGATTTCTGTAAAATAATCTAGGTAATTAGGAAGTACTAATCAAACTTGGAATAAAGGTAACATATTACAATGTGGAGCCATTTATAATTGAGGTAATTGTGATTTCTAAAAAGATTTTAAAAAAAGTAAAAATGATAGATAAATAGTGGAGATACAATTTCCTTTTCTTTGACGAGGTGAGAAACTCACCAAATAAATTACTGGGTTCAACACAGCTCTGGGTTACAGAGCAGGGAAACCTGGTAATTCCCAGGAGCCATCTCTGCTCCCACGCAGGATCATCCCCTGGGATGCCAACACCTGTGTCCAGCAGCCTTGCTACCTCAGCAGTGGTGAAGAATGCTCCTGTGAGGTTTTAGCTACAATGCTCCAATCAAGTGGATGCCGGTCTCCTAACACCACTAATTTAGCAACAAGAGAATCAAATGAGATCTACATCTAAAAACTCTGAGGTACATATCTAAAATTCGTGAATAACTTATTCAGTCTTACCTGTGGGTTTTTGAATAGTGCATATTTTTCTATACGCTCCATAAATATAAGCTTGTTTTGACTATCTCTTGTCCAATTGAGAAGATTTTCAACCAAGTTTTCATGGTCTTCAAAGATTCTTTCTGTTTCAAAAAATATCAGTATTTTTTTTTTTTAATTCATCAAAATTGCATTAAAGACATGAAACCTTGCAAGGTGATTCAAATCAGAATCATATCCTTTTTTAAAAAAAAATGAGACAGAATCTCACTTTATAGTTCAGGCTAGCCTTGAACTCACTAGCCTAGTAATCCTGCCTCAGCCTTCTGAGTGCTGGGATTACAGGCGTGCACCACCACACCCGGTCCAGAATCATAGACTGTTAACTGACACTAACATTATGGGCCCTCACATGTTGGTCTACTTCATGTTACAAACAAGGAGATATGACCTAGTGATTGAAGCTAGTTAACGGAGTTACACCAATGACAGATGGAAGAGTTAGGACTAGAATCTAAGTCTTCTGACCTCCAGCACATCTTTCTTCAGCCTCTAGTTCTTTTCTGTTCACTCTTAAATTGAACTTACGTTAAAGAATGTTTTTTAGATACTAATTTTTTGAACTTTGTTGCTGTTGCTTCCTTTAAAGTTAAATGTTAGTACACAGACATTGGTACCGCATAGCCAGTTTAACCTGGAAATGATACTGTATTCAAAGAACTCTCAAAATACTTGAGGTAAACTCCTTGGTAATTTTGCAGGAAAAGAAAAAAAAATGCCTCAAAATGCTTCTGTAACATGAAAGCTGTAGGGATTACATAGAAGTTTAAAAGCAATTAAAGCAATGACATTACTAACCCATTTGTAACTCAGAAATGGTTTCCACCAGCGACCAGTCTAAACTATAGCCACAGTGGGACTTGTCCATCAGGTTATCCAGCACTTGTCTCACTGTCTGCCTCTCATCCACCATCATTGTTTTAGAACTGTCGTCAGACATGTGGACTCTAATCACCAGCTATAACAGGTAAAAATGACATTCAATGAAAACCAAAAAACGGCACCCTGGAAAGGATTTGAATATTTTACTTAGTATCTAAGTATAAATTAAAACACAAATATGACTTTTATTATGTGAGAAAGGCTAAAAATTACATCAAGTAACCTACCTAAATAAATTTAAAGGGTTTAAAAAATATAACAGGCAAGTGTCTTATGTTGAGATTATTCTGTTTTACTTTTTTAGGAGACTTTAGAATAAGTTAATTCTTTTTATAATGTATCTGATGCACAAAAAATATACATATGAAAAATACACTGTTAGAATGAAGCCCTCATCCACCACTGCATAAATGAAAGGAATATTAAATAAACAAGGCAAGTCGTCAGAGGCCCAAAAAACTGAGAAAAACCCCAACCAGGCAAATGACCGCGCATCACCTTTTTCACTTGTGCCTCTTTAATTTTCTCCAGGGCAACTCTGATCTTCTCGGCTTTCAATTTTGCTGCCTGTTCTTCCTGTGGACACAAAGCACTTCAGATAAACTACCGCTAAAATGACAAGAATATGTGAGAAGTCCTTTCTATTCTTTAAGGATGTTTTTAGCATTGAATTTCACTAAGAATATACTTATCACACATTTAGAGCACATTTTAAAAATAGCCTTGTTTACAAAATGAATGGAGACATATTGTAAAAAAAAAAAAAAAAAAAAAGAGTTTTCTTTAAAATGTCTTACAGTAAGATTAGATTTCATATTCCAGAGGGGGAAAAATCTGGTGTAGCACATTAGTAAATTTGATTTTGTCAATACAAAGCAGACATCTACACAGCCATCCCAGCTAATTTATTTTTACACAGCTTCAACTCTGTCTTATACTCCCTCCAAAGTATAGAGTAAGCTTTTGCATATTCATGTTTTGATTTGTTACACAGAAAATGTATAAAAATATCTACAGCAAAAAGTTATTTACTTATCAATTATCTATCCACAATCTTCATTAAAAACCCTTGATAAAAAAATGTAGGTTCAGTCTCATTAATATACTAATGCAAAGGAAGCTACCATATATTCAAAGTTTTACTTTGCTTTGGACATTTATAAATATAATCACGTCAGTAAATTCGAATTTGTTTCCATTGCTTCATTAGTAAGATTTTTAAAAATGCTACATATAACTTTCCAAGTAATGTCAATTTTAGTAATTTCTACTTCAAAAAAGCTAGTTTATGCACAGTAACAAAACACAGTAATAAAGAACAAAATACACAGTAATAAAACACAGCAATAAAGAACTAAAACCATTTGGCTATTTTTTTCTGAGATAGCATACACCAGTCACCAGAACAGTGTATACCAGTATGTTCTAGCATACACCAGAACAGTACTTACTTGTAATTTCCAGCAATAGGCCATAATACACTGTAGCATTACTCTTCAATTGAAGAAAAAACAAAAAACTTATATAAGCAGACTTTTGTTAATAAAGGACTATTTTCTATTCCTAAGCTTTTGATTGCTCTGGAAAAATACAAATTCTCATCTTATATATTCCTTTGTTTAATATGTACTTTTTTAAAAGGAAAAACAATTATATCAGACTTTATCTTCTCTGTATTGTAATTAAAAACCACAGTCCATGTGCCATTCTTCATTAAATTAAAGCTAAAGCTTCCAGGGCAAAAAATTAATAGCTTTACCTCCTGTTCACCTAAATTTATCAGTTCTTATTTATGAATTGCTTCTCTTTCCATTTCATATTCTCAGCTGTCTCCCTTCATTTCAAGCTTAGTATTTACTACTCCATGGAACACAGAAACAGTGGTATAAGGAAGGCAGTCAGCCTGCTTGCCAGAAATCTGACCCCTTTCAATGAAAGGAACCAGTGAATTAACATAATAGTCAGGGTCTGGAAATACTATCTGTAAACTGAATTAAGCAGACAACAAAGAATTTTATTTTAACAATGGACAGGGGTAAGATGAGACTTGGTTCTCTACTATTACAGATACAGTCCCCTGACCTAAAGATTAAATTATCTTTTTCCTCCCCTTCCCTTTACACAAATAAACAAACACAATTATAAAATTGACATTTTAACAATTTTTCTTTTAAAAGCAGGCTATTAAAGAAAAACTAATAAAACTCGTCTCTAGAATTGAGTCTAAGAGAAATATCATTACTAGTTAAATTTCTAAACCCTGCATATGTTTTGAGGAGTACAGCACAGGTCTGAAATATTTACAACTGTCAAGTAACTGATTTTATAAAAATTCCTGGAAATCACGTTTCAATGTCTCATCTTTATATTGATAAAAAATGGCTACTGCAGCAAAAGAAAATTTATCAAGGCACACTTGAAAAATCCATTTCATTCTGATGAGGAAAAACTGATGTGGAATAAATGCTTTGTGTTTTTGGAATACAAATATGAACTCAATAATCAAAATTCTTTACAATATTATAACTAATCTGCAGACATGAAAATAAAGCTTAGAAGATGTTCTCAAAGCTGAAAACATTTAACAAAAAAATGAAGAATATTAAAGAAAATAAGACAAGTCAAAAACTGAGAATGAAAAATAGTACTGCCACTTTGGAAAACACAAACTAAACATACTCTTAACATCTGATCCAGTAATCACGTTTCATTTATGTCTGGAAAAAAACCCCACACATGGGTGTCTATAGAAGCTTTATTCATCATAATTGCCAAAACTTGGAAACAACAAAGATGTCCTCCAGTAACTGAACAGATAAACTATGGAGCGTCCTGACAATAGAATTTTAGCACTAAAAAGAAATGAACTATCAAGCCACCAAAGACACAGAAGAGTCTTGAATAGTAAGTATTAGCAAGTGAAAGAGGTCAATCTGGAAAAGCTACAAACTGTATAGTTCTAACTATACTACACTGTGGAAAAGTCAGAATTATGGAGACAGTGAAAAGATCAGTGGTTGCCAGGGGTTGAAGAGGAGTTGTGAACAGGCAGAGCACATTCAGGGCATTCAAACTACTGTCTGACATTTACAGTGGGGCACACATATCAGAACCTGAAACTGCCCTAAAAAGTCTATCTAAAATATGTATACGTGTTTATATACATTCTGATATTAGTTATAAATATGAAAATATTTTCATGCTCCTATTTCATTTTAGTATTTGAAGCAAAGCTATAGGATTAGCTTACACTCACCAGTTTCTGCTCCACAATGGAAGTAAGGGTTAAACAAGTAAGAGATTGTGTACAATCAATTAACATACAGTAAGCCAATCACGCTTCCTAGCCATCAAGATGAAAGTATTTTTATGTAAAGAACATTAGATAGAACTATTTTAACAAATCCAAATTCAGCTATTTTTCCATTTGGTCAAATGCTACTCTTCAGTAGCCACATAAATTGGTCTATGTAAGGACCCTCAAATTAAAATTTAGAAGTTATTTATCTGAGTATTATTACTGCAGCAAAACTGAAAATGATACACCTCAAATTGCAAATTTTGTAATATTTTATGCTTTCTATAGATGATAAACTCCTCTGTGAGTTCCATTTGTTATCTACTATAGCTAAGCCCAAACCACTATCTTAATCATAACTTGTACAAAAATTGTCTTAAGATCTTAATGTTAGACAATACAGGAAAGAGCAATAAATCTCTGCTAATTTGTTTAGCTGATATATTTAGAATATCTCCAAGTTTATAAAGCAATGCAAAATCTATGTTCAATCACTAATACAAAGGAAAAAGTTTTCTTCATCTCAGGTTCTCCTGACACACTTAGGTCTTAAGTATTAGTACATGTTTGTAGTACATATAATGAGCAAGTTCCTTGTGTGCGCCTCATTTTTTGACTACCCTTTTCTTTACATTGTCTCACAACTATCCTAAAGTAAGTAAATGATACCTTACACATATAAAAACAATTTTCTGTCCTATCCCTTTGCTTAAAAGAGCCAGAGACAGCCCATTTTCTACTGCTGAGTGGCTATCAGTAACCATCAAATGCCAAGCCTCCTCAAATTTACATAAAAGACAAACACTTGGTGAAGATCTTATGATTAAATGAAAACCAATGCTATGGTTTAAAAGTGTTAGAAAGTTCTCTGTGTGGTAAGAATTAGAATACCCATACTCAAGAGTCACAGCTGCAGAAAGAGCGTGAATTCCTTCAACTGAGAAATTAAAGACCTTATGGGTTAAAAACAAACCCAGATGAAATTAAGAGGCTAGATAGACTCTCTGGAACTTGGTTTATGTAACAGATGACAACAATGAAAAACTTATGTAAATTAATGATTCAAAGAGAACTCGGGAGTGATATAAACAATTTAATGCCCATTAAATATTCTATAAGACTGCTTAGAACCAATATAATAGTTAACAGTTTATTTCCTCTGAAAAAATGATGAAATCAACAGACTCTAAGAAGAAAACTAACATTAACTGAACACCTACAACTTTCCACACTACGAGGCCTGTTACATATGTAACCCATTTAAATCTCAAAAGGTAGTACAAGGCCAATATTATTAGTATATTCATTGTACCAATTATCAATGAAAGGTTAATGAAGACTTATCTTTCCAAGATTAAGCAGGTACTGTAGTTACCAACAGACTACTTATTCCTTCCACCATAACAGTACAGTTCCTATTATCCTTAAAGGGTTACAGCTTAAGCTTTTCAGATATTAGTAAATAAGAAGTTGCTTGTCAAAAAGATGTTCAGTAATATTAATAAAGCAAAGAAAATGGTGGTTAACATTTGCGCATTCTTAAACAACTCAGAAGAGGGGGTCAGAAACTGGTGCACTAGGCTATTTGTAGGGAGAGCCAGACTGCCACACAGGTGGGGATGAGGTATAGCTCAATGGGAGAGCACATGCTGAACATGTGCAAGGACCTGGTTTGATCTCCAGCACACACACGAGCACACACACCCACATCAACAGAACATCCTTAATTCAGCTTGAAAATTGCCAGGTGATCTGGTAGAGGGGGCAGTCCCAAGACTAAGGCTCATCTGAGAGGCCAGTGGCTTAGTTTGTCTCGGAATTTCTGCTACCTCTTGGGTGGACTCCATCCCAAGTCCTCCCTACCTGCTCAGGTTCTATGGTACTGAGTGACATGCCTGTTAAAATCACTCACTGCATAAAAGCAGGGTGGTCTAAGAAGGGAGACAGAGCCAGATGTTGGCCAAAGACACCAATGCTACCAGCTTGGTAATGAGTGAAGATAAGATGTGGGCAAGAACGGCTCTAACACTGCAGTCAGTGTCGCCGTCTCTGGACAGAGGGAGATGAGAAGTTACTGAGCTCATTTATCCCAAACTTGCTAAAAACAACTCTCCCTACGGGAGGAACTTGGTTTCGTTCACTGCTATATCTGCAGAGCCGTAAACACTGGCACAAAGAGGATAGTAAATATTTGGTGGGTGAATGAAGTAACTCTCCAATAGTTTCCCAGTGTATTTGGTGAAAAATATAAAAGCCTTAGTGTGGCTTGAATGATCTGGCTGTTGCTTGCCTCTTGAAAACCAAGTCAAGACACTTGTACCTTCACTTAACTAAGGTGGCTCTAGCAACATGGGCCTTCTTTAGCTTCTCACCCACACTAAGCTCTTGTCCTTTGGCCAACCTACCTGGAACAATCCCTTTTCTCTGACTAGCTTCTTTTCATCCTTCAGGTTATAGCTTAAATGTCACTCATTAGAAGAGCCCTTTCTGATCTCACTATCTAATTTAAATGGATCCCTAATTCTTTTCTCAGTTCTCTACTTCTTTACCTTATTTTCTTTATAGCATTTGATAGTATACATTTTTATATGCTTATTATTAAATCCATAGGCTGTGAGCACCTAAGGGTGGGGGATATGTCCATTTTATATAATGTACACCAGAACCAGCACAGTACATGGCTCAGTAAATATAATTAAGTACAAAATGATAAAACATTTGAGAACAGTGTATACAGTAGACGGGAGGAGGGACTGGTAAATATAAATACACAACTGTCGCAGTTCTGGTAAGATAGAAGAGCCTATTACAAAGATGGGAACAATAAGCATGAAATGGATGTGCAAATGCAATAAACCCCTAGAGGTTATGCCATGCTTCATTCTAGATTTGAGAGTCAGAACAGAGGTGCCAAGGACGATCAGCTGGCTTCCCCTGGGTCTCTGGGAGAGTGGTAGTATTTTAAGCAAAATAAGATGGGTGTGAATTGTGGGGGCCCCGGGCAAAGAACATGGGCAAGGCAGCTAAACATCTGGGATATGGCATGTAGGTGCTAGTAAGACGCTGGTGCTCTTCCAGCAGCCCTTGTAGCTCTTGGGAAGTGCGGTGCTCTTAAGAGGAAGAGCTGATGTACAAGACAGACCTACCTGAAACTATGAGTGTGGATTCCAAGATCAGAGAGCAAACAGGAAAGAGAGCACCAAGGAAGAAAAACTACTCTGGTTATAAAGTATGGCTAGAATCTACTTAAATGCCTGCCTTTGCCTGGTCTTTATGGTTCTACCTCCACTCCAGACCTACTATAAAGAGAAACATGGTCAAGAGAAACGCCCCCTTGCTCACCCTGTCAAAGGGTCTTCTCTTTTTTTTTTTCTTTTTTTTTTTTCGTTTTTCTCCGGTACCGGGAACCGAACTCACGACCTTGCGCTTGCCAGGCAGGCGCTTTGCCGCTGAGCTAAATCCCAGCCCCAAAGGGTCTTCTCTTTGAGCTACTTCTTGGGCAGGTTTTTCTTTTAGTCCATAATCTTTCATAAATTTAACAGATTAGCAAGTAATGAACAACAACAACAAAAAAAACAAAAACCCCTCAGACACAACTTAAGAGACATTATTCAACATCACTATGGACATTCTTCAGAAATTACCAGCAAGTCTGATATTCTTGAATTAACATTATAATATTTAAATAAGATAATGAAATAAGGCCATGATTTGAAAACAGGTAGAAAGCTATTCAGCTTAACTCTAATTTTTCTCCTGGCTAATTATGATAATTGCTAAGGGATTTTTAATTGATATGAATATCAGCACAGTGAAAATCCAGCTGGACTGATTCAAATCATTCTGAGGATAGAGAACTGGGAATTGCAGCCTTTGTTTCCAATCTAAGTCAATATAAAACAAGATTCTCTTTATATAAATCAATGTTTAGATAATGCAAACAAATTATAAAACTTGCTACCGAAACTTACAGTATGGATAACCATTAAAGTTTATAAAATATAATACAAAATTAAACTTGAAAAAGTACAAATACCTGAGAAGACTATTAGGCATTTATAGAAGTTTAAAAACTGGTGAAAATTCCTAAAAATATTTGTTACTCTTCAGTATTATTTGATAGTCATTAAGATAAGGTAGGTAATTCCTTCAGTGAGATAAAAAATAACTTCTATTAAGGACAAAGGTGCTAAAATGACAAGGCAATAACATGAGAACACAATCAAAAACAGAAACTGTATTCTACCTACAAGGCAGTAAACAGTTACATGCATGAAGAAAGCAGTAGTGTCACCTTGGTCAGCAAATGAGAAGGTTTTCCTGCAATGTTTCTCAGAAGAAGGGATGTTTCCCTGTCCAAATAGGAGTGCTTGTGCAGGAAAAGAGAGAAAAACAAAAAAAGGAAATAACAGAAGTCAGTGGAGGCCTTATATGTTTAAAATATAAAGTAGACAAAGCAAGAATGATTCTCTATAATTAATCTCATATCTTTTAAATAAACTGAGTAAAATATGTCCATAAAGAAAATTTTTAAAAGAGAAAGAAAAAGAGAAAGTAAAGGAAGGGGAGGTAAAGACCTTATCCCTCATGTATGTCTGTAGATATATTCCAAGTGAATCTTCCCAATTTCTGGCTCTTTGGGAAAATAGATAACAAACAAAGATCACAGAGCCAGTCTGGCTTCTAGGCCAGTATCCCTGAGTGCTGCGTAAAGAGTGTAAATAAATACACATCTGAGACCAGTGACCACCATATTCCTTCCTGTTACTAAAGCCTATTCAAGTCCCACACAGCTTTAAACAGTTAAACTGATTGGAACACAACAGGACTACATCATTTGAAAAATTTCTGCAACTGTTTCTGATCAATTCAATAACAGACCTCCCAAGAGGAAAAACCACTGGTAAATGTTTTAGCTAATAGAGACACTTGTTTTCAGTAAAAATTTATGGTCCTCATTATAGGATCACGTTGCACAGTATAGGACTTGAATAAAAAATGAAAGATATGAACAAAATATTAAGAAGAAGTTTCCCCCTTGTTTTAAATGAATTGAAATATATTTTCATAAAATGATTTGTGAACACTGTTTTTATTATTTCCTGGCTTAATAATTTTTTAATAACATGCTCTAAGTTTATATAATTGTATTTATCCTTTCTAACATATACGCAATCTAGACTTGCTTTTCACTAAATAACCCTGAATTAGTATTCATTTTCTAATGGTGTGTATTTACTAGTCACCACTGGCAGTAACACAGCATGGTGGAGTTACACAAAGAAGTTCTATAATGCTACAGTATGCAATAAATCTAAGTTCTTTTGACAAACTAATTATTTGGAAAGAAAGTTATGCAAACAAATATAGTACTAGAGCTGCACCCATTCAAGAAGAAAATGATCCTAGGTGATAAACATGCTACTTTAAGATTGGAAACACTGCTACAGAAGACAATACTGATTTAATCTGCTCAGATTTACACTATGTTGTTTGCTATGTGATATTTTATTGCCTATAATGTTAAAGCTGTGTCTGAATACAAGATGAACCTATCTTCATTCCTCTCACTCACTTCTTAAAAACAAACAAAACAAGAAACCTGAGGTTAAATTGAAAATATTCAGTAAGATTCACCACTAACATGGTTAAACAGTAGTAAGAATAGAGAAAATTACCCCTAGGTTCTCATTTACCGAGATGGTATAGTCTTCCTAAAGATAAATATTGGTTGGTTCATCCATCAAGATATTAGGTAGGCAGAAATTTCTGAAAATTCAATTTAGTTTAAGGTTAGCGATCTGCCAAGACCAAGAAGAAAATCAAGAAGGATAAAGAACAAAAAAAGCAACTACTACAACTTTTACTGCTCTTATTCCCAATCATCTTTGTTATTCACACCAAATGTAATTTCAACATCAAATTCAAAATTTAAGCTTTGAAGAGAAAACGAGATTTACTCAATTTCTCTAATTTATATCATCCCAAGACTTGAAGTCCCCTCAAATTTATAATATGAGCAGTAAGAGGCAATGATATTTAATCACATTTGTTTCAGGACTCATTAAGTTAACCCATTTTGAAATATTAAAATAGCTTAAAACAAAAAGGGGGTAATCATTATGGTTGGTGACCCAAAAATATGACACAACTTAAACATGAAACCATGAACAACAGTTCAACATGGTCATAAGTTATGTTGTGCTGATCATTAAGTATATCTAAAATGTATTAATAAACTTAATAAAATTATGTTGTGCTTAGATGTAGCAATTCACTGCCTAGTCTGTAGCAGGGAGAGGGTGGGTCCATGTTCCTTTCATCTATGCTACAAGTATCTATAGTGAAAGAACAGACATAGAAAACAAAGGCAGCAAACTCCTCTCAGTAAATTGCTTTCTTTATCTATCATTCCCTATGGTATTAGTCAGAGTCAGCCATACACAGCCATACACTGCTCCCAGAATTCCTTGCTCTTCAGAAAGGGGCAGGAGCAGGGTGTGTGTGTGCATGTGTGCGTGCACGGCTCGGGGGTGGAGAGGGAGTGCTGGTTACTGGAGAGGGACGCAAGAGGCGTGAGAAGAGTAGGGTATAGTTGAAGGTTTAAGAACAGGAAAAGACTGGTTTCAGTACTTCAGCCCCACCCTTGGGGTGAAGACATGTTGTTAACCAAAAAGTGTACATAGTATTATGTAAGTACAGCCTTCTTTTATTTTCTTCATACACCACTGTACCCACAAAGTCAGAGGCTTATCTGTAATTCATTTTATGGGCTTGTTTTCCTGCTTCCATTTTTCCCCTATTAATTTATTCAGCTATTTTTCAGGTTCTAACTTCGAGCTTGCAAACACACTAGGCACTGCAGATGAAAAGGTAACAAAAATAACCAGGCCCTTCTTGCTTCAGAGAATTTAGAATCTAGTAGGTAGATTCAGACTCACTGGCAGCTACAGGGCTGTGTGTTAGGTGGAATGGGACATGTAGGACATGAGCACCTATGACAAAACTGGGGGCTCAGTGAAGTATGACTGGAGAAGCTTATGGTCCTGAAGGATGAGTAAGAAGTTGCAAAGATGAGGGGGCAGGGAGGACAAATAGAGACCGAGACCAGCAGTGGTAGCACTGTCTTCAAGTGGGCATTTCATAAAGTGCTGAGGACATTCTGGGCTGTCACAATGAAGCACAGAGAATTATCAGTATTTATTGGGAGGGAAGCAGAAGTGTTAGATGCCTTGCAATCATGGAAGAATGTCACACAACAATGGAAGTTCCACAACCTGTCCCACATGATTTTTTAAAACATGTTCTTACATGGAAAATCACAGAAATGGGAAATCCTGTTTGTAATAATCCAAGTTTAGAACCTAACTAACTTCATTTTATATATAAATACAAAATAATTTTGTGAAGTTTTAACTTTGAATGACTTTTTAAGCAATGCATTTGCTCTGTGAAATAAATTGAGGGAACTCTGCTTTCTTTTGTTCAAATATAGAGTTGTTCATAATGCTGGAAAAATCATTTTACTGATGGAAACCTAGTTTGAAGTAAAAAAATACTCTCAAATTGCAAGAATTTTGTACTTCCTTCCTTCGTCTATAAATTGTCTCAGTACATTATTCCTACTTCAGTTATTTCCGCTTCTCTCTTACCACATACATGTGTCATGTCTATTATCAAAACACATTTTAGTTCTGGGGGGCCGCTCATTACTTTTATTTTTTTTTCAGTACTGGGTTAAACCCAGGGCCTTTGTATTGAGCTACATCTTCAGCCCCTTTTCCCCTTTTTAATATTTTTAAAATTCTGAGACAAGATCTCACTAAGTTGTTAAATTGGCCAAGGTGGGCTTGGAATTGTGATCCTCCTGCCTCAGCTTCCCAGAGTGCTGAGATTACAGGAATGTGTTACCATGCCTGGCTTTCTTATTTGAAACAGACAAGAAAACCAACACACACTTATGATATTCTTACTTCACTTAAATCCAAAGTTCTTTTTTATTGTACTATTAGGGCCTTCACACTCAGCTACATCCTAGGTGCTATTTATCTAAGACAGAGTCTCACTAAGTGACCCAGGTGGGACTTGAATTTATAATCCTCTTAACCTCAGCCTCCCAAAAGTACTGGAAATACAGGTGTGTACCAGTGGGCTCAGTCAAAGTTCTTGATTATAAAAAGTTCTTCTTGACTATTTTTTATTTTATTTTACTTTTTGGTACTGGGAATCAAATTCAGGACCTTGTGCTTGCCAGGCAGGTGCTTGTGCCACTGAACAATATATATTCCCCAGCCCCTTGACTATTTTTTAAAAATGTTTTTTTAACAGCACTGGACAAGCAGGAACATACTGAAAAATATATTTTGTTATAAATTTTAAAGGTAATTTCTCCTTCATATTAGGTATTAGGGCATCTCATTCATTCACAAAAATATGTATGTAGGCAGCTTGTATTAACTATGAATTTGGGATGGTAAAGGTGATGTTATAAATTATTTGTTATAAAAAGGGGGCTTTGGAGCTAAAAGCATTAAGTACTGCTGTGTGGACAGAAGAAACGAGGAGGCACATACATATTACTGTAAGTGTGGTTGATACTTAAGAGCAGTGGAGGAGCACCTGGAAGTGACAGTGAAGTGTTTTTCACACAGCAGGATATAACCTATTAGGTGATGACAGAGTGTAGTAAGTGAAGGAGAGTGGGTTTAGGGTTTTAGGGGCTTCTCCTTTACGTTTCATAGATGACTATGAGGCAGTACATTGTCCAATGGAAATACAATGCAAGCAAGACACAAATGTAGTTCAAAATTTTAAGAGTAGCCACACGAATTTTAAAAATGTAAAGAGAAAATATGGAAGTAATCATATCTTTTATGTAACCAAGAACATCTAAAACAATTCAAAAGCTAAATACAAAAATTAACAAGTTATTTTTATATTCTTTTTGTCAGCTTGTGTGTAGCACACCTTAATGTGGTTTAGCCACATTTTAGTTACATAAGAGCCATGTGTGGCTGATGGCTACTCTAAGGGCTATGCAGCTCTGCAGATCCAGATTTATCAACCACTGACTAGAGAATACATTCTTGAAAAAAACTAGGTTTTCAGTTAAGCATTCTGTGCAAAAGAATCATTCCATTTGGTAACCCCCTCCTAAAGAACAGCAAAATTTGTTACTATCCTAAGAAACTGAAAAAGACTCTGTCTTCGGGATAACAAAATATGGTTTCAGATTTCAATACAAAATTCTCTATATCAGATACACTACCATCTATAATTTACCCTGAGTGTTGGTACCCTATCATAAAGCTGCTTATTTAAGCTTTGTTCCCTTAAGCTTGGTTTAATTTTGATTTGAAAAACAGGTTGCATGACAAGTTCTCATCACTTGGCTCCACTGAATACATTCTTCCTCACTGACACCTAAGCAGTCCTACACAACATGTTTACAGAACTTACAGGTGTTGGCTCAGCCTGTTCCTCTGTGAAGTCAATATGACGCTGGGCCTGCTTGCTGGGACATCTCAGAGAAATAGCATGCTGTGAAAATGGAGGAAGGGAGAAAATGACAGGTAAAGGAAGTGAAAAGGGAAGCTCTCTGTATCATGCAGGAAGAGAAAAAAGATCACAGAAATGAACAAAACAGTAATGAAAAGTTGCATGCAATAACATTTTATTCTTTTGTGTAAAAGTTAGGTGCCCAATCAGATGATCTTAATGCTTAATACTTTTAGTAACCTCATTCTGCTTCTGGATAGTACAGCTGTACAGAAGAACTACACAGATACACTGTGTCCAATGTAAACCCCTCTTAGCATTGACCACTGCTTGCCAGCATTGACCACTTCTCCCCTCACTCAGCCGGTCACCCCTCAAATGCCTGTTCTAAGCCTTCATGCTCTACCAGCTTCTAGCTTTTCCTTTTCCCCTCTTTCATATGACCATATTTTCCACAATTACTTAAAAAAATCACATCCATTACAAAGATCTTCCTCTCTATGTCTTATGACTAAACCCAGATTCTTTTTCACCCCTCCCTTTAGTGCTGTGTGAATAAATAGCCCCTTCCCCTCTTCAACGCTAAGCATGTATCAGATCCCACAAACCCCACCTCTAATATCTTCAGTCTTTGATACTCAACCAGATCAGCCAGTTGCAAGAAGAAAGGAGAAAAGTTCTGAGTACCTTTCTTTTGTTAAACTGTTATTTTCTCCTCGCCACCACCAAATTTCCTCAATTCATACTATATAGTTGCTCCATTTCCTAGCTACTCACCAATTCCTTAATTCTCTGCATTCTTTATCTCTCAAAACTCATCATTTGCATTGTAATGCATTCTGCAATTCATCCTCAAAGTCACCTTTTAACTTCAAAGTTTTCTGCCTTTCCAGTCATAGTGTTTGCACGCCATGCTGCCATTACTTGGTGGTGGTTTACTCTATATGCTTTCATTTCATACCCCTAGAGTTTACCTTCACAAGGAACTGTGTGCTATAATCAGCTTTATCCCTTACAGCCCAGGGCAGTGCCTAGGCACTCAAATATTTATGAATAGATGAACAATGTTCATGCCACATGCTAGGTCAGCTGCTTTTGCTTTTCCATCTCTATAGTTTCTCATTAAACATGTTCAATAGCACTGCTTCAATTATTAGATCAACAAGAGGCCTATTAAATCTGTATTGCCAATATCCTTGTTTTTAGAAAATAGAAACATGTATGAAGGGAAAAAAAGGGCATGACAAATGCAACCAACTCGCAAATGGCTCCAAGGGAAAAAATGTATATGTACTTCAAAAGAACGATAAATGAGAAAGAATGGGTAGAATGTTAACAATTAGTGAATTTGGTCAGTGAATTTCCCCAGTTCTTTATACTTAACATGATTTCAAAATAAAAAGTTAAAAAAAATTTTCTCTAGACTCAATCTTGCATATGTTCTCATTATACAGTTCTAAAGGATTACTGGTTAAATTTTTAAAAAAAATCTAAATTTAAAGTATTCAAAAGATGACAATGTACCATATTGAACAGTATGACAGAACAACATACAATTAAGGCTCAATACCTCCTTGCAAGAAATGAATACGTGAAGTGACAAAACAGTACAAAGATAGACAAAAATTTAAAGTCAATTTATGTTGTCACATTAACAAAAATGAACAGGATACAAAATATAATTTATTTAATGTTAACTAGGTCCCACTTCCACAAAGTACTTAAATAGTGTATTACCAAAACATTACCCCAAATCCAGTCTCACCTACTCTTTATCATTACTTACATAAATCTGAAAGCTGTGCTCAAAACATTTAGGAAAAATGAATTAAGGGCCAATGCTCTCAACTTTCTCATTTTCTCACTCACTTGCATTATAAAGTTATCACCCTCTATTGATCTTTCAAAAACTTTCCACTGCTAAATGAAGTAATCATTTGCAAGCCAAAGTCCTTGGGAGAAGAGTGAAAGCACAGGTATTGAATGCATTAATCTAAACCCAAGAGTCATATCTTTATCAAGAAATTGCCTTGTACCAAAGTAGCAGTTACAAATAAAACACTACCACATGACAGCAAACACTTTAATTGCTTATTTATAAAAAGCAGAGGTTTATGCACCCATCCTTTCACTAAAATGGATGTACATTTATCTTTTACTGAGACATGTATGTGTTTTTCACAAGTATTACATTGAAAATAACCATAGCATAATAATGAAGAACACAGATCCTTGGGCCACAGTGCTTGTGTTCCAGCCCAGCTAGGCCATTTACCAGCAGTGGGCTTTTCTGACTTCTTATGTAACCCATTTCCTTAAGTATAAAATGAAGATTAAAAAACAGCATTTATCACCAAAGGTTTCTACAAGAATTAAATTATAATTTTATTACATTATTCTAAGAACAGAAAACTGCCAGTCATTTGTATTTTAAGGCTTAACTTACTTCATTTGGAGTTGTTAAACTTTATTTAAAATATTCAAAAATATACTAAACTACCACCAGATGGGGATGTCACTGCATAAACCTCTGGCTTTTTCCCCTCCTGGCTATGGAGTTCTGTCCATAGCTCTGGCTTTATGAGCACTGGTCAGTCTACTCTTGTCTTGAGTCCCTTTCATTTGAGCTCAACTAGACTGTGCTCAAATCCTTGTGCAGGTAATGTAGTTACCCTCTGCCTCTGCTCCTTTTACCATAAAATAGGGGTAAGGTACCTATTCCATAGGGTGTTGTGTGGAGTCAGTACATTAAGACATGCAGATCACAATGTGTAACAGAACAAGCACTCAATACAGCAGCTTTTATTATTTTCTGTCCTTTTTTTTCTTTATTCTTCTCCTTTTACTGGCCATTATATAGTCAGTAAATGTTCAAATGCTCTTAAAACCACTTCCTTTATATTTTATAGCCCCTTACCAGTCCTCCACAAACCCAAAACAAAACAGAAAAATAAAATGGATTGAACACCAAATAAGGACATTTTTACTTCTGCAAAGAAAAAAACCCACACAGACTAAAAAAAAAAAAAAAAATACAAGGGTTGGGGATTTAGCTCAGCGGCACAGCGCCTGCCTGGCAAGGCCAAGGTCATGAGTTCAATTCCTGGAACAGGAAAAAAACAAAAACAAAAACAAAAACAAACGAACAAAAAAATACACCAAGAAACAGGGCATATATGCCAGTGTTGACTAAGGGAGAGTGTTTAAAATATGTTTATTTGAACTAGACTTTTCTTCAGATTTTTACCAAACCTTCATCATCACCTTTCATCTGACAGCTACTCCTTCTGTTATTAAACCTCAGTAGGTCGATGAAACTGGATTTGACACCAGTTGGTACATGTGAATAAATTTCAGTGCAATGAAGCCACTAGACTTTATGAGAAAGGTAGCTAAAATAAAAACACACATCTAATCTGGAGCCTTGATGTCAATGCGATCACATTCCAAACGCTACAAAATATAATTGCTTTTTCTTTCCAACATCTCTAATTTCTTCACAAATTAGCTTTTGAAATAGTCCTAGAAAGTGAAGGAAACTTGGGATTTTACTGAAGTTACGAAACGCTGTGTTACACATCAGAAATCTAAAAAATCATTTATAAGTTATAAAGTTTAATAGCTCAGTCAGGCAATTTTTCATCATAACATAATAAATCAAGTTTTTTATTTTATTAACTTTATTCAGTAAAACCTTTGAAATCTGCTATAAACTACACTGAAAGCTTTAAAAAGTATTTTCCTTCCTTTTTTTTGAGACAGGGTCTCACTATGCAGTTCAGGCTGGCCTTGAACTGACTATGTACCCCAGGTTGGCCTTGAACTTGCAGTGATCCTCCTGCCTCATCCTCCCAACTGCTGGGATTACAGCTGTGCACCACGTCTGGCTAGTATTTTCATTTTATAAATACATTTTCATTCGTAAAATTCCAAGTTCAAAGGAATAGTTAAGTTAAATGCCACCAGAAAATAAAGGTATTTTAATAGAAGTACATTAACTTTTAATCTGTAAATCCTATTTTACAGAAAATTTATAACATGCAATTATCACTTAAATTTATGAAGTGTTCCCCCCCCCCCCCAGTACTGGGACTGTTTTCTTATTGAAATATTTTAATTAATATAAATAAACTACAATGAGTAAATGAAATGCAAAATATATTTCACATGGGTTCAGAAACAGATTTTGTTAGTATTTTAACTACAATAAATTCTAATTTTTAAAACCTAGCAAATGATCATTGCTGTTGATGAACTTCAAAAGAACACTAAAATTATTCTATAATTGACTTTTATGTGTATCCAAGGTGAATTTTTATGCTGAAATATTTTTTAACATTCAAGAAATATATATATTTTTTGAGACAGGGTCTCACTCGCTATGTAGTGCAGAACTGACCTTGAATTCCCTTATGTAGCCCAAGCTAGCCGCGAACTCACACTGATACTCCTGCCTCAGCCTCCTGAGTACTGGGATTACAGGCATGTGCCACCACACCTGGCAAAATAATCATTTTTTAACAAATATGCTTTTAGATTTTGGTGAAAATCAGTAAGCATTTGTGGCCTCAGAATTCACACATAGACTTCTCAGTTATTTGACCTACTTAATCTCTATAGTCCTGGCTTAGATGGAATAATCCACCTATCAAAGAAATAATATGATGAGTGTAATTAGGCTTAAATGAAATAGCACATGTGAAATACATGGAAGCTCAGCATTTTGACAAAATTTAGGAAAGAAAAGGGCAGGAAAAAAACACACATTCTGCCTAATGTGGAAGTGTACTGTGCCAATCTCTGGAGACTTTCAGCAAGAAGGCAGGAAGAGGAGCCCTGCTATTTTTTACTGCAGACTGTTTTAGTTGCCATACTGGCACCTACAAAGAGGAGACCAGGCGTGCTACTAAACATTCTGTAGGGCACAGGCCAGCTGTTCACTACAGAAAACCATCAATCCCAAAATGTCAATAATGATGCCAGCAGAGAAACCCTGATCTAGAAGGATCAGAGGAAGTTCAAATGCTGAACTCGAGCCATCTCCTAAATCTAACCCTTTTGCTCCAAGTGGGCTGCTTAGACACTGGCAGCCAGATTATAAGCCCTCCAGGTAGGGGACTGATAGAATCTTCTTTGCAGAAGGTCACTAGCCTAAGACAAAAAAACTTAGGAAATAATCCCAATGTAGACACTTAAAAAGAAGCACGCTGATGTCCCAGAGAGAAAATGTAGTAAGACTATACAGGTTAGCTGCAAACTGGAAGTATATAGTTATTACAACATAAACCCTGTATCAATTCCAACAAAACATGTTGGGAGCATGGCGAAATTGGAGGGAAGAAGTGAAGGCATGGTCTACAAAGACTGCTAGACCTTCATCTCCCAGATTGAGAAGGTAGGAGATACTACATATAATGAGAAAAAAACAGAAACAAAAACAAAAAACAAGAAATAGTGGATTTAATGACATGGAGGCAAATACCATAAAAACCAGCCAAAAGGGTTGGAAGTGCTTACCTCTGGGAACAGAATATGATGTGTGCAGTTTTTTGAACTCAGAACTATTTCACTCTTTAAGTAGTTCTTTAATTCCATGCATGAAAAACTAATTTTTGAAAACTGTACTCAATTTTAAGAAAAACTCCATGCTTGGGTTTGGGATATATAGAGTTTAGTCCCAATTTACTTAATTTGAATTAGAACAGAGCAGACCCAGAAAAAGGCATACTGAATCTAATTTTAAGCCTGTTAAACCACTTTTTTTTTTTTTTAACCTGTGGGCAAAGTAAAAGGACAGGACTGGTAAGATTTTAGGCTATTTCTCTATTTTATCCCTGGTTTATTTACTGTAATGATTTAGATCTAAAGCATCCCCTAAACCCTCATGTTTGAAATATGATCAGGTCATGGAGACACTATATTCATCGGTGCATTCATCCATTAATAAATCCAGCACCCTGGTGTGTGGTTAGGAGGTGAGTCACTAGGGACAGGACCTGCAAGAGTATATTCTTGTACCTGGCTCCCCGCTTCTCTCTTTGTTTTCTAGCTGCCATGGGTTGAATACCTTTTCTCCACCATACCCCTCTGCTGTCTTGTTTCTACCTTTGAGGCAGGTAACCACGGACCAAAATAGTGAGCCAAAATAAACTCTTCCATCTTTAAGTTGCAGGTGTCAGGTATTGGATCTTAGTGATGGAAGTGATTAAGACACTCATCAAACCTTACAAAGTGTAAAAAACACTATACTATCAAATACTGGTACCCTTGCCCATGTGTACCACTAGATATCATTTGAAGAGTGTTTGTTAGGAGACAGGGATTTTTCCCTTCACTTATCCTTACATTATTTCAACTTTCATGAGAGTATTTGACAGATAGACACAGACACACAGACTTCAAAATAGCCTTACTGATTAGTTCACAACCTGTCCTCAGACACCTTGACCCAACTCAAAATAATCTTATGGGAAGTCATATTAATATACAAGACAGAATGATGGGGAGCATACATATTTTAATAAAGCACTGCTCAAACATCAGCAGGTATATCTGAAAGACATAAAGACTAAGTAGCTGGTACAAAACATAATTCTCAAGTATCAAAAAGTAGAAGCCAGGTTTCTTCTATTTTTTAGAGTGATATGATTCTTGAACTACCTTATAAGGAAAGTAGACCAAATAGTACTACTACATTTTTCTTATGAGAAATTGATATTTAGGCAGGTTAAACAACTTGTTTAGGTCCCATGAACAGTAAGCAGCAATGAAAAAATTTCACAGAAAGTAGTTTTTAAGATACAGAATATCTATGTATCACTGGGTAAAGTTTAATTTTAAATAAATGAAACTTTTTAAGAGTGATATTTGCTAACTTTCTTTGCAATAAAATTCAAGTTTATCTCTAAACCACACTGGTTCATGTTTCATTGTATTCCACAGAATCAAACAAACTTCTTGAGTAAGAACAACAGCTATTGATATGTTAATCTAAATAATTAAATCAATTGGAGACAAAAAAAGTCAATAATCAAATAGGTATAAATTTTAAATTTCCCTATAATTCTTTAAATGTGTTACATTTTGTATTACTACTGATTATTCATAGATTCTTTTACTCTATTTTACTAACTAGACAGTATGTAAACACAAGCTTACTGAAAATGCTGACTTTATTTTGCCCCATTTTCTTCTTTCTGGGTGCTACCCTACAAAAAAATTGCTGTCTTAAAGAAAAGAATTCAATGAAGAATTCTCTCTCACCAAATTTAGCTCTTGTTAAACTTATCACAAATATATGCCCTACTCTTACTCCATCATACTCAGGGGAACTTTTAAAAGTCTGTTCATATAAATCCCATTTGAATCTCTGGACCACTCTCTAAGGAAGACAGACCAAACAGAACAGAAGATAAAACTATTTTTCTTACAAGAAATTTGCATTTGGAGAGGTGAAACAACTCACTTAGGCTCCATGAGTGGCAAAGAAAAAAACTTACAACAAGATTTCTGAGTCCAGTAGCTCTTTCCACTATTCTACACTGACTTTGGTGACAAAATGGTATAAACTCTGAAAACTAGTGTCTATTTCTTGGGGGTTTTTTGAGAGACTCTTGCTATGTAGTTTAAAATGGTCTTGAGCACACTACATAGCCCAAGCTGGCCTCAAACTTATGACAATCCTCCTGCCTCAGCATCACCAGTGCTGGGAATACAGGTGTGCACTGCCACACCCAGTTTGAAAGTTAGAATTTTAAAGGACTAAAAGGGGATATAAGTGCTTTTGTTATGTTCTCGTTTTAAAATGTACATTAAAAAACAATTATTATCAGCTTAGTAGCAATTAATGGCTTTGCAAATCACACTTCAATTTTTAAACCATCTGAAAAAACTGATGTTAATTCAAGGACTTCCGGTCAAAAGGATAAAAAGAAGAAAACTAAATCTTTTCTAAATCATCTCTGTGACACCAACATGTGTTGATGTACTCCTTCTGTAGTCTTTTTTTTTTGGTGTGGTACTGGGAATTGAACTCAGGACCTTGCACTTGGCCAGGCAGGCACTGTGCCACTGAGCTATATCCCTGGCCTGTAGTCTGATTTTAAAACTTAGATCAAAAGTATTTCTGATGAATTTTAAATGCAGAATCAACAAAGTTATAATTAAAACTACAGTCTTTTAGAATCATTTCCCCTTACTGAATACTAAATAACAAGAGATAAAAAGTTCTTTCTATTTACCTCAGCAATTGGCTGCTCCTGATGTGTTAAATCCAGTTCTTGAGGCCGTGTCACTTTATCAATATCCAGAGAGTCCATGCTGGAGGCTGCAGAAGTGACACTAGAGCGAGACGAGTTACTAACTGAGCGCACTTCAGCATCACTCACTGTGCCTGCAGATGCAGTTCTTCGGTGCTGATTGGTTACCATGGGCTTAGTGTCTTCCAGCACAGACTGCTGAGCGGCTTCGTCCATGCTCAAGGAGGCCTGTTCTAACTGTGCAGTGATGTCATCCAGGGAGTAGTTAGCATGGGAAGGTTTAGCTATCCTATTAGATGAAGAAGATAGTCCTTTCAAGGTGCCATGTTTTGATGGATGTCGGTTAACAGCTAACTTCTGAGTAGCTTTTGTTTCTGTGATTGGTCGCTTACTACTTCCTGAACCAATACTGCTGAGCTCCTGCTCTATAGAGCAAAGATCGGCCATCAGTGCATCCAGATCCACAGTCTCTCCTTGATTCAGAGCTTCTGCAAAGAACAACAAATGCTTCTGGAAACCATAACACAATTTACACATTTTATTATGAGTCAGTTAAAGGCAAAGGAAGAAACAAAGGAATTCACCTCACTGGGCCTAAAAGCCAACCAAATGAAATGCTTCTAACCGTTTTTTGCTTGTTTCAAATTCCAGTGGAAATTTTTACAAGCAAATAGAAGCGTCTTTTAAGATCACTGATATAAATGAAAGTAAAGTTATGAATTCAAAGACAAAGAAATTACAAAAACTTAATACTATACTATTTCAGTGCTTTAATCATTTCCCCTATGTAACATTTTAGCCATAGGTTTTAATAAGCTATTAGTATGGTCAATGGCTGGGAAGATATTAATATCAAAAGAGCTATGGGCATAAAAAGAGAAGTCAAAGTCTAAAAAGCACATACTGAAGTGTTAATTCCAAACACTATAAAGCTGACTAGGTGGAGTACATTATTTCAGCCACAAGCGCTGATTATAAAATTATTAATAAATAAGTTCTCTGAACTTAAATCCAGTGGAAAAAAAACAATGCCATTAAATTTGCTATGAGGGCCCACTTGAGTATGTATTTTGTCAACCATTAAAAAAAATTAGTTAGAAAACTGTATTATGGTCCACTTTGCTCTTCTCTGTGATGATCTAAATTAGTAATATGTACAGAGCAAAAAACAGAGAAAGTCAAGTTATGCATATAGGTTTTGAAATTATAGTACCACTGTTCCTACATTATATAAGTTAATATACTACTGTATACTTAATTACATCTTACCATTCAAGTTGTATATGGAGAAACGGTAAGAAAAATTGGCCATGTTTGTTTCCTGGCGAAGAGGAGATCTTTTCACTGGTTCTACAGGCTTATCAGAATCCAAACTCTATAAATAAAGAAAATTTAGTAAGACATATTAAATTCAGTTACATAAAACTTTATGATTAAGTGAAATGCTATATAATCAATGACACTAAAATTTAAGTAATAGCCTTAAGGAAAAGTATTCAGTAGTTTCACTACGATTATTTCAATTTTTAGATACATACTTCCTTTTAATGCACCTAAGACTAGCACTGTTCAGAGTAAATATCTTTACAAATACATCAAGTTCAGTGACTGATCTTATGAATTCTCTATAAGATAAACTAGTTATAGTCATGCTAATCTAAGAAACAGAAAAGCACTATACAGAAAATTTTGTTATCTCTGTCCTCAGCAGGATGTGTTTTTGGTTTGGGATAGCTTCATTCTTTGGCATGAAGCAACCTGGAGGTAAGGAACAGTTCTGGACACAAAATTACCAAGATCCATGAACTTAACAGAGCAATTACAACTTTAAACAATGAGGAAATACTCTTGTTCTTTCAATCTCTAATAAGATGAGGGCAAACCCTAACTCAGCTGTACTATCTGTGACAAAGCTAGACTAGTACTTACACTTAAGGGTAAGATGACTTGGAAGTGTTCTCATTACTTTTTTATTTTATTTTTTTGGTGCTGGGGACTGAACCCAGAGCCTTATGTGTGCTAAGCATGTAATACACTACTAAGCTACACAACCATCCCTTCCCACCTTCCCCACTTAACTCTTCTACCGTAAGGAAAAATGGCATGTACAACAGAAAATTTCAGGAAAAAGGGAAAGAAAGCCAGGTTTAGTGTCAGTAAATCTGCAAATATTAGAACTAGTCTTCTAAAACTTTAATTTCTAAAAAAATTATCAAATAATCTTTAAAATAAACAAAATTTTGGATACTCTATAGAATCATGGAATTTGATTAGAATGCTATCTTCATTATTCATTTATCTCAAGATAATATGCATGGGGCTGGGGATTTAGCTCAGCGGCAAAGCGCTTGCCTGGCAAGCGCAAGGTTGTGAGTTTGGTTCCTGGTACCGGAGGGCGGGGGGATATGCATCCACAGAAGTAGTGGTCATTCTATTTTTAAAGCTATCAAACAAAGGAGATACAAGTTCTTCACAGTCCTATTTTAAAGTTCCACAGAACAGCCTGGAAAAATCTTTAACCTTAAACCTAATTCTTCTATAACAATTTAAGCCCTAATCATCTTTTCCTGGGGGTAACTGGAGAATAAAAAGTAGCTAATGTTTTCTGTAAAATAATTTATATTAATTGAGGGCATGTTTAAAGTTAATCCATTACCAGTTAAAATAATACTCCTTAGAACAAAAATTTAGTGAACTAGTAGGGTGACTTTTAATTTTTTTGAGGAGTCACTGAGAATTTGATAAAAAGTCATAAAGCCTCTTTCACAAAAAAGCAATGATAGCTATTAGTCAATCTATGTCCTGGTTTTAACATTTATTTTCTCTAGAGAAAGATTGTATGATGAAAAGAACAGTCACAGCTTAGTTTAGGAGCCAACTTTTTTGATGAATGTGTGGTACTTCACATTTATGTCAGGCGTAAGCATACAAGGAAATACATGGCACCCAACTAGAGAAAAGCCATTCTCAGTGGAAGAGCAGGAGTTCCCATTCCATCTGGAACAGATGGACTGATACCTGTCTGTTCTCTTTTTTGCCCTTTCCCAAGTATGGACAATTAAACCACCAAGTCAGGGAAATCCCACATGTCCGCTAGCCCTTGCATACTTTCCTTGATGAACTTTAACTTCCTATTTCCCTATATTCTTCTTCGGCTCAAGCATAAAACTGCATAGCCTGGTCATCATCTCTATGTCAAAATTACCTTTGTAAAAAAAAAAAAAAAAAAATTAAAGAATTAAATGGGAATGATTTGGTGACTACAAACATAAGAAAAGACATTTCTGACAAAAAGTAATGCTACTTCTGATTAGAGATAAAAGAAACGATCCCTATGAAATCTTAGTAGGATTGAAAACACTCTCACTAATATTTAGTATTAACATAATGATCACAATGTTATCTGTCTTTCGGAATGATCTACAGGTATAGAAATGAGCTAGTACTTTCAACTTCTACCATACCACTTTACTTTTCTGTTAGGATTTCATACTTATGCATTCCCAAAGATATTTAAACATAAGTTTACTCCTAACATTCTCACTGTCATGAAATTAAATTTACTTAATAAATGTAACCATTTTCACAAATTGAATATAATGCAGAAAATATTAATGAGAGGAATAAAAACTGTATCCTTCCATCCTAAAAGAGTATTTCAGCTTAGAAGATAAGGGTCATCTTTTTTTTTTTTTTTTTTTTTTGGTCTTTTTGAGACATGGTCTCGCTATGCAGTTCAGGCTGGCCCTCACTTTGTAACCCAGGTTCATCTTGAACTTGCAATGATCCACTTGCCTTAGCCTCCCCAGTGCTAGAATTACATGCATGTGCCACCACGCCCGGCTTCTTCATCATTATTTTTAAAACCCAAGATCCAACAAACAAAATGAAAAAAACTCTGCCACTGTTTTAAATGCATCTGGGAATGAAATGTTGTCAGTATTCTGAAAACATTCAATAGAAAATACTGACATATGAGGAAACTATATTGTAAAATGTATTTAAATTTATTAAGTATAGAATAGCAAGATTTACTAAAATTTAGACAAATTTTAGGCTTTAAAACCTTTTAAAGCTAGAAATCTCAAATTTATGGAACAGATTAAAACAGTTGGTCTAGATGAACAGAACTTCTGTTACAGAATTCTTTTTTTTTTATTTTATTTTTTTATTTTAAAGAGTAAAAGAAGGATAACAATAATAGGGGGGGCTTACCAAATTACAGACAAAGTGTTAGGAAATTATCAATGGTTGTTGTTTTACATATTGTTATCTACAAGATAGTTTCTCAGGAAAACAAACAAATAATAGTGAGTTACAGACAAAAGAGGTAGCAGATTATCAACAGTTGTTGTACTATACTTAGGTATCTTCAAAGTGGCTTCTAAGGAATATAAATAGAGCTATACATGAATGACCTATTGAATAATCATTCAATAATTCTCAATGGTTGTTGTAGGAAACACAATAATAAACATGGATCCATTTATGAAATAGGAAAGGAACAATACAAACATTACAGAGTTATGGATAGATTAGTAGGAAAATATCAATGACTGCGGTAGTACATGGTGATATCTTCAAAGTGGTTTCTCAGGAAGAAAGAGATACACAAGAAGGATCTAACAAGTAGTTACAGCCTAAGGGTTGTCAAAAATCAAGTGAG